CTATAAACCCATCAGTAGACCCATTCAGTATTACTCATTGACGAACCAGTACCAATTGTCACCTCCCAAAAGCCACACCTATCAGCACATGAGGGTTTAGGAGGATGTTTAATTGCAAGCCCTAACAACAGAGTTTTACTAGGTCCCTTAGTTGTCCAGTTTGGGCTCAAATTTGCAATAATCTTCCTTCAGCCTTTTCAGAGTGATAAAATTATAGGCAAACAACATCACTTTTGACTAGTATATCAAAACTTTCACACACTGAGTTAGTCTCTTATTCTTGCAATTTGTTGTAGCAAACTTATGTAATATTTCCTACAGTGCATTAGACATTTATTAATATACAGTAATCCATAGTGAGTTTGGGCATAGCAGAATTTCTAATTGTGATACATCACTAGAATTCCACATTTCCAGGATTTCTAGCCAATCTAAAATAGTTGTAAGACAAGGTGATATGTATAATACCTGAAACATGAATAACTGTGTCAAGAAACATGAGTAACTTAAAGTAGTACCTCAGTCTTGGTAGCAATTAATGTAGCTTACTCAGAAATCAAAGCTACACTTGACATCAAAGGCTTAGCAAAGGTCTTAACAGGAAAAATAAACTAGATTTTGTTCTGTGACATTCAGTGACTGAAATTGCCCTACTAGTTCTTCTCATAAACACTGCATTTGCTTATCTCAAATTACACATAAATTATTGCTTCTAATTTAGGAACTGTTTGAGTTTGCAAAAAGCAGCTCCAAGAAGAAAATACCTACATTAGTAAATTATGTTCATGTAGTTCATATTTTCCAAACGTATTGCAAATACTAAGGAGAGGAAATATTTGGATGAAAAATTAGAAACCTGCATACTAAAAGAGTCTTCGTGGTTTCTGAAATTCTAAATTAATATTTTTAAAATACTTTTTAATGGAGTATGAGTATGGTTCAGAAACATTGTTCATTCAAGAGAAATACTATTATAATGATGGTTATTTCTCCTGTATTGAAATGTCTTCCTAGTCAGCAGTTTCCTCATACTTCCTTGACAACCAATACTAATAAGAGTTTTAGAATTACAGTATCAAAATGTAATACGGCAGAACCATGTTGAATTTTATTATAATGCTTGCTTGTAACATAGATTGTTGTATAGTGGCTGTGGTTAGGCATATAACATGTACAAATGTTTCACTTAATATTAAATGTTATAAAAAGGAATCCATTTTATCAAATAAAATAAATTCTATTCAGAGATATTAAAATAAATGATGCAGGATACAAAATCACATACATGTTAAATACCACAACATCCTCTCAATTGAAACAAGAAAATACTATGAGAATCAAGTAATTTAATGTACATTATGCTTTTCTGAACAAATGTTAAAGTTCCTGTTATATACTTTGAGACCAGTTCTGTAGTTGAAGAGAATATTTCCACCATAGTTTAATGGTTTTATGTTAAGGAGGCTTGCTGTCATTTATTTTTATTTATTTTTAATATGTTTATTGTACGATTCAATGCTTACTAGAGAAAAAAATTAATGCAAAATATACAAATATTGTAAATAAGAATTTACAAGATTGGCTTACAGTTGCCATGTGCAGCATTAGGTGAGGAAAAGTGCAAAAGAGCAGTCTGTGGGCTGGAGATCTGCGGGATTGAGTCCAAGGACTGGATCTAATATAGTGTCCCATGTGAGTCTGAATCAGGCAGGGTCTGTGATGGAAGCCAAACGGTTTGTGTCAGAAGGCTGAAGGCTCTAATGCTGGAAGCTGAAGATTCTGTCCTGGAAGTCATGAGACAATGTCCAAGGCAACATTGAAGCCTGGAGTTATTCCAAAGAAACAGAAGCAAGGCTTCATTCTTTATTTTCTTCTCATTGCTTGGCTGTTGTGTCTGACACTCAGGGTTTGTCTTCTGTAGTAAATCTCTTCAGCCATAGCTGAAACAATGCTGATTCTATTTTGTTGGGTTTACTCAAGTTGACAAAATTAACTATTACATTTATTTTTAACTGTAAACTGACAGATTATAGCTTCATATATTCATGAGGTAAAAACTTGTTATTATTCATAATTACACTTCAGAATAACTAAATTAAACTAATGTAACCTTCAATTCATATATTTACAATTTTGTGGCATTAATAATCTGAATTCTCCTTTGGTTAGTTTTGGATATCCATCTTGTTTACTATATTCGCCACTTGTACTATCTATCTTTGAAAAATTTTGTCACTTGTGAAAATGTGAATAAAATAAGACACTGTGAAACATCTGGAATAGAAGCACAAGGACTATACTACATTTTATCACTTATATGTGCAATCTAAATAATTGAACTCAAATAGAGAGTGGAATGATGGTGATGGTCAAAGGACATAATCTTTTATGAGAAAGGAGGAATGCAGGAGTGAATTTTTGTTTGGTTTGAGCTTTCTACTTCAAAATATTTTGATGAATTTGTTTTGTTTTAGTTTTATAAAGTGCTAATGATCAATGTTAGCAAGAGTGTAAATTTCATAGCACTGAGTTACACTCTCAGTCCACTTGTTTTCCTTTTAAGTGCAACATCTCGTGGTATTGCTCAAAATAGAAGTTCTCTGGCCTCATCTTTTCATGTAGCTGACACCACAGTTGCCTGTCACAATGCCCAACTATATATTTTGTATATTTGATCAGGTTTACTGATGTATGATTACCATGGAGTAAAAATTACTTTAGCTGTACAAATAGGTTAGTTTTGACAAATGGACATAGTTGAGTAAACAGCACAATTTATTTGTTTATTTATTTTTGTCTTTTTCCTTTTTATCGGTACTGGGGATTGAACTCACGACTGCCTGCTTGCAAGGCAGGCGCTTATGCCGCTGAGCTAAATCCCCAGCCCCCTATTTATTTTAACTAATACTAACTTGAACCTTTTCTAGTTTGGAGCTCTTATCAATAAAGGTGCAGTAAATATTTATGTATAATGATTTTAATATATGTTTTAATTTCCTTTTTATAAATACCTAAAAATAGGATGACTGAGTGAGAATGTTGACTTTTATAAGAAATTGCCAAAATGTTTCCCACAGTTTCTGTACTATTTTTCACTTCCTCCAGCAATGTATGAGACACTAATTGTTCCACATTCTCACTGATTCTTGGAATTTTCAATCTCTTTTATTTTAGTTTTCATACCATATTATTAGTAGTATATTATTGTGGTTTAAATTTCTATTTCCTTAATGGAAAACTACATTAAATATTTCTTCAAATGATTATTGATTACATAGTGTTTTCTTTGAAGAGGTATGTGTTTAAATATTTTGCCTGTTTTTTAGACTTCTGCTGATCCTTTAATTGGGCTGTAAGAGTTCTTTATATAATGTGGAAACAAGTACAGTGAACCCTCGTGTTACGACCAGCTTGACACACAAGACAACTTGTGTTATAACTAGAATTTTAGTTTTAACTTAAGACCAAAGTTTTGAGTTGTGACTCAAATGTCAACTGCTTGTGCTTCCACATAGTCTTAGATGCAGATTTAATTCTGATAGAGTTCTGGCAGGAACATTACTCATTCTTTCCCACATGGGGTTAGCTGAGAAATCCTGGGCCAATATTTCTCTAAGGAAACTGAGACCTGCCTGTATACAGGAGAGAGACTTTGAAGGTTGTATATCAGAGCTTGAGCCTCCCATTGACAATTTGAGTTACCATCAGCCCTTGGGAACAAATTGAGTTCATAAGTCAAGGTGTCACTCTTTATTATTAGGTGTGTGAATTGCTAATATTTTACCCTGATGTGTAGTTTGTGTTTTTATGTCCTTTATAGTGTTTTTATTCCAGCGACAACTCTTTTTATGAAGTCTTCTTTTGAAATTTCATATTTTTTTGCTGCATTTAAAAAATTGTTACCTTACCTGAGGTCACAGATATTTCTTTCTGTTTTTCTATAGAAGTTTTATAGTCTTAGATTTTTAGTATACATACTATTTGTTATTAAATGTTTTCTATGATATGAGGTAAGGATTGATAACCTATTTTTTTCAGATGGATTCACACTGTCTGTTTAAAAATCTCTACTTTCTTGACCCATTGTCTAACAATAGCACCTTTGTCACAAATCAATTAAACATATATTTGTGGGTCAATTTCTGGGTTCTCTATTCTATTTCATGTGCCTATATGTCTACCTTTATATATGTATTGTATTTTCTTGATAATATCAACTTTAATGGTAAATTATTCAGAAAGCTTTCATGCTTATTATCTTATTTGTCTTCTATAGCCCCCAGAGCTAAACTTTAAACTTTGGGTTACCCATGTAACAACTACTCTACTAATGAATAACACAGTCACAGAAAAAGTAGTCCATTTACACAAATTTACATAATTATCCATAGACCTAACACTAGAATACTCCTAAAGCCTAGTCCAATATTCTGTTGCTACAAAGATAGCAAAAATACTGATGACTATTATCAGTGGTATACTTGGAGATACTTTCTAGATAACAGATTTCACTAATGATGTTTTCTAAATAACAGAATTTACTAATGTTAGTTTGATCAGCAAACTACATACAGTTTTGGTTATTTCAACCATTCCTTGATACAAAATATCCTTTAAAATTATCATTATTTGGTTTTTTAAATGATATGTTCAGTGTTGGTGCATCTGCTGTTAGCCTTTAATTTGCCTATTTTTAATCTTAAACCAAACACTGGCTAGGTGTGATACAAGAAGGATCTTTCCAAGCAGAAAACTATTTCTTTTATAAATGAAATTCGATTATATTTTTAACCTAATCAATATTCTTTGTTGGCGATTTATTTTAAAAAGCAGCCTTTGAGTTAGGAGTATAGTTATATTCTGTGATTTATATTTCTTTATACTAAAATGATAGTTTCTTTAGTTTTCTTATTTGACTATTTTAGTTTTATTGTGTATCAAACATGTGCAATCCTAACTTTGCATGTGATGATTTTATTGTTCAATATTTTCTTCTTTAGAATGAAGAATTCAGATTCATTGAAAATGAACTAGAGATTCAGAAGAAAAAATACTTTAAACTTCAAACTTTCGTTAAAAGCTTGATATTAGCTATGAAAGCTGATGATAAGGAACAGCAACAGGTGGGTTCCAGGAGTAACTAGAAAACTACAGTGTATCATGTTGAAAATGACATGTTCTACCTCACTTCTTCCTAACTTTTTATTTTTTTACTTCATTCCTGTTTGCCACAGAGAAAGTATTATTATTTGGAGACTATTTCTAAACACAATGTTCTTGAGATAGGTTTTCAGAATTTTTTATGTTGCTAGATTTTAAAATAAAAATAACTGATTATCATTATTACAAGAGTGACTTTAAATAGGGTAGAACTAATTCCAAAATGATTTTTAAAGATAGTACTGGAAATGTTTGTGGAGAAAGGGCTGTCTTAATGGAAGAGGCATATTGTAGAAACATTTTGTTAATGATAGAGGTCAGGCTTTTGTTTAGTTTTATATGTGTCTTAGTTATCCACCGTCCTTACTAAAATTTACAAATGTCTAGGTATCTTTTATTCTACAATCTGGTGTTCATTACTAAGGAAATACTAAACTAATTTGTGAGTTGTTTTGTGACTATGAAATGTAACTTACTTTTCTCAAGTGTTCAAGTCTTCTAATCCAAAGGTGAAATGTTTTTGATTGTTGCTATGAATTTTTATTCATAAATTCCTCTGAATTACATTTTCTGTCTCATATTTTATGTCAAATCTATAAGATAGATAAATAGGCTTGAAAATAATGACAGTATTATATTAAATATTACATTTAACTAAATGATAACAGGTTTGCCTGTAAGTTGTATAATGCCATCTTGATACTTTATCAGCAAATTTCTATATTAGTATTTTGAGATAAATGTGATCATTTAAAAAGCAGTGTCATAGGTTTTTATCCAGTAAAAAATGTGGAAAGTACAAAAATTCACCCTTTAAACTCAAATGAGACTACACATACATAACCTATCTCAGATATCTCCAAGGGAAAGAGAGTAGAGGGGCAATGCCCGACATTTTTGACACTGGAGGCTGGCTTTGTGAAAGACAAAATTTTCAATGGACTGGGAGGATTAGCTTCTGTTTTATTTGTATGTGTTTGTTATACACAATGGTTGTTTTCCTCAGCTCTAGGACTATGTCCTCAACTCCACCTCAGATAAGTAGACATTCAATTACCATAAGGATCAAACAACCTAGATCCTTTACATTTGCAGTTAAGAGTATGGCTCATGCTTTTATGATAATCTAATATCACTGCTAGTGTGACAGAAGGCAAAGGTCAGGAAGTAATGGAAAGTGTAGATACATTGAAGTTTGACTGACTCACCTGTCCCTCACCTGTTTTGCAGTCTATTATGTCTAGTTTCTCACAGACGAGAGTTCAATATTTGTCCATGGCCTGGGAATTAGGGACCCTTGAATTAGAGTGTTAACATACTTATTCCTTTTCGATTTTAAATGAATAAAATTATAGATCTTGAACATGGTTGCATGAGTACAGTAAATTTTAAATAACTGTACAAAAATAGTTCCAAGCATAGGACTAATTTCACATGTTGAACTGATCTCAACACTGCCAAGTTTTGAATGTAGTTATATGTCCAGTTGCCTAGCAGTTATGCCTGTCTTGCTCATCTAGGAATACCTTGTGAAACTCATTTTATTTCTTGATTATAATTGTCCCTTGGCTTTTCTTTTATAGGGACAACTAACTTATTAATAAAAGTAACGATTGTATTTTATTTTTCTCCTTTCTTACTTTTTTTCTGAAATATTCTAATGAATTAACGTGTGGACCAGAAGTTTGCCAAAAGATAATAAAAATTGTACTAAATGTCATATTCCATATAATCAGCACCAAAATAGAAACTAATTTTAAATATTTTCATAAAGGAGATTTATTTTAATGGATCTCGAACTATATCAGACAACAATAGTATTCTACAAAACTAATCCATGTAGTCTCTTAAATTGCTGATTTTTTTTATTTAAAGAGAAAAAAGAAAGGACATAAAAAAACAAAGCAGTAAAAGGTTACAAGTAATACAGAATTTTAAGAAAAATATATACAGTAAGAAATCATTAGTTAATAGGTTACATATTGTCATCTTAGAAACAGTTGTCCAAATTATAAAATTAAAGGGTATAAAGTGGACATTCACAAAGTGAGATTGGAGATAGTTCCGTTCAGTGATCCAACAAAAGCTCAGTAATATGGTTTTCCATCCTACACACTCAAACATACATGAAAAGAGAGGAAAGGAAGGTGGACTAAGGGAAATTACTGATTTTTACTACAAAATATTTAGCAGCTTATTTTTGGAAATATTTTTTTTCTAAATAATAAAAAGCAACTGTCATGTTATTAGGGATTGGCATATGCCTGCAAGCACTGAGGAAGCTGAGGCAAGAAGGTCACTATAAGTTAAAGGATGAGTTGACCTACATAGAGAGTTCAAGTTCAACTTGAACTAAATAGCAAGATTCTATCTCAAAAACTCAAAAGAAATAAAATAAAAATCTTCAATGTTTTTCAATTAATCTTGCTTCGGGTAAGTTGAGTGAAATGAGTCTTCTACATAATTTTCTTCTTTTTTATTATTACCTTATGAAAAAATAAAGTTTTATAACAAAAAATGTGAAAATAACAGTAGTTAATAAACTATCATTATCATTTGGTTTACAACTTATTCTCTGGGCATTCACAGAATATTTTGGTCCAATCAAGGAATTCGGAATTTAAAAATATGTGATACTCTCTGACTGAAGTATTAAATTAGCCAAACATGTTCGTTTAATCAATAGCTATCATAAAATAAAAATAATGTTGACATGGTTGATCTACATCACTAGCTTTTGTCTTTATTCTCCTAATAATTCTTTATGTAATCCTAGAAAGATCAATTACTTTATTTGAATTTAAATTTCTTCACTTTGTAAGAAAGGATAAAAATGATTAACATTATATAACTTGGCATTCACAATTTAAGATCTAAAATAAATGTTGTAGAGACTGGCTACTTATTTGGGGAAAGTTTTAATTATCTCTAGGGAAGAATAGCAGTTGATTAGATTTTTAATTTTTTTTTATTGATGAGGAAGCTATAAGGAAGGCTAATTGTTTTTACTTTGATCTTTGTGAAAAATGCAGTCCCCAAAACTGACATATTCCAAAGATTGTTCTCATAGTACAAGTTTTGCAGTCCAGTAAGTTATTAAAAGAATTTTGAAGTAGACTTCATACATTAGAACACCATATATGTTCTCAGATTTTAAACTTTTTATATTTTTTACTACACGCCTTTTAGTAAGTCAACTTTATGTAATGCAATGACAAAGAAATAAATAATAGCATTTATCTGATTTCCAGATCTCAACACTGGAATATAGAGTATCACTGACTTTACAGCATGCTAGGTACATGTTCAGTAAGTGATAATTTGAACACTTTCTTTCTTTAATACTATGTCTTCAAATATATTCAAATATTGTGTAGGAAAATAAATCCAATGATGTATTCAGTCTCATCAGCCAGAGTCAGAAAAAGGACCCTTTGCAACTAAACTTGGTTAGAATTAATCAATACTGTTGAACAAAAATGATACTATGTAGTTGCAGCCTAGCACCTTAGAAAGTGTTTGGTGTCTAGGAAACTTTGTAGTGTTAAAACTGTCAGTTTTGACAAGGTTACGGACACTAAAGATAAAAAATAAATAACAGCTTTTTTTCTGGATAGAAGTTAGTCTCTCCTTACACAGTCTGACAAAAAGTAACAAGTATTAATCTGTCCTACATGCTCCAAAGGCAAAATATATAGGACTTGTGCTGTCATTTATTTAATAAGTGACAATTGGAAAATACTATCATTTGGCAACAGTGGATTTTTATACACTTTCCAATATGCCCAGGCTTTCTGTTTCTTAATTAGGTAATGATAAGTTTTTCCTTGTTCCTGTTTTCTCAGTCCTTGTTTACCACCATGCCTAAAGTTTACCCTACAAGTAATATGCTGTCTAAAAGTTACGAGCTATATGTATTATTTGTAGTTCTGAGAGCAACAAGTCAAACATTTACTTTTAGTTTCTTATGGTCAAATGGGCATTAGTGTCAGAAACATAAAATTTGATTAATGATGTATTTCCCTAGTATATATGTATGGCATGCAACCACAAATGAATTTATTAGACCATGATTCTTGGCTTCTCCTAATCACTCCAACTGAAAAATGAAAAGTTGTCCAGATACACTACTACAGCAGCTACATTCTTCGATCCAGTTGGCCCTAGTGAGTGCTTGCTATCTGTTGATGTGGCCAAGGAAAGGAAAACAATTACTTGGTCTTTTCACGCTGCTATACTTTACTTTAAAGTAGAATAGCTGAATTTCTTTTTTAATTGATAAGTTCTTTACCCCAATGAAGAACATAACAAACCTTTGTGGAATGTGGTTTACTCTAAAATATAGTACAACTAGGTATGGGTATTTTAATAAGGGGTACAATTTCAATCTTTTTAGCAGTGATCAATGAACATTCATTTAAAAATCAATTACAACCAACACTTTAAATTAACTGGTTCAGAATGGTTGCACTTTTGTCTTTGATTTTCTCCTTTGAGCAGAGTTGTATTCTACAAGGTTCACACTGCCTATATCTAGTATTCTGTTGTTTTTAAATTAGTGTATCAATGGTTTTTATTTTATTTAAGGCATTGTATTAAGTACTTAAATATAAATGTTTCTTTATTTAAATCTATGTAAATAAATCAAAATGAGATACCAGAAATTATTAAAATAAAATTGGGAAAAAAACTCTATCCACATACTAATTTCCCCAAAAATGATTTTTCTGAATCAGGCACTGCTATCAGAATTACCTCCTGAATTAGAAGAGATGGATTTCAATCATGCCTCGCCGGAGCCTGATGATACCTCATTCAGTGTGTCTTCTTTATCAGAGAAGAATGCATCAGACAGTTTATGATTTGAAGAGAGATATATGATGCAGTATTTGGCTGCTTAACAGGTGTGAATTTTAAGATAACTGCATTCTGTCACCCCAATAGTCTTCAGTTGAAAAACCATATTATTGAAACTAAGATATTCTTGTGAAGGATAGACCACATGTAATGGCTACAATGCAAAAAAATGCATGTTAAATTTAAAAACTGAGAGGTTTTTTTTTTTTTTTTTTTTTTTACAAACTAATGGTACTATGGAAAAGTTAGTGTTTCGTTTTGAACAAAGCTATGAAATTTATTACATTTAATTTCTGAAAGACATTTTTTGATTTTATAAAATATTTACTAATAGCTTTAACCAGGGGCACAAAAATAAATGTATTTCAACATTAATTATCAAGCAACTAAAGCTTGATTTGTGTTGGTTTTTTTTTTTTTTTAGCAATTACACCTTATTTCCTCTCCTTTTCCTATCATCCATACACATTTTTTTCTCAGGAAAGTGAGCTAAAACTTAAAAAACAAAACTTTAAAGAACTATTTATCCTGGATAAATTATGGGATTTATTTTTCAATCCCTACAAAAAATGATTTAAACTAATGACACAATTGAAGTAATGACTAGTATGTAATTGCATATTTTTATCTAGCCAAAATATCTGTGAGGAGAGGGGAAATACTAAGGAAAATTAATTTTCCAACATAGTCAAATAAATGATTAGGGGTACAGACAGATATTGTAAAATATTAGTCTTAATGAGAATCCTTCATTGCTGTGAAAGAAAAAATATTGGTAAGCATTAAATTCTACTGATAAACTTTTGTAAATGAGTTAGATTAAATATTGCACAAATATTTCAAGTATATCACAATCTTCAAAATTTTTTTCAGTGCTTACATTTTATGAAACAAGAAGTCAAGGTAAGCCACTGAAATTTTTTTTAAAACCTAGTCACTGAGCAAAAATTTAACCCATTTCCATGTGAAGCCCTTACTGAGCCATCAGCCAAGGATAATATCCAAAAAGAATCCTACTACTTAGGTTGTAAATGCATCCTCCAAATTTCCTGGATACTAGTCTACAAATGCACACTTTTAAAATGAGCATAGTACCAGTTGTTCTATTACTGTGTGCAAGTGGCAATACACTGTAGACAGTTCTTTGCAGATCCTTCCTTCCAGGATACCAGGTGGCAGTACCAATACACATGTGAAAGAAAATGTCAACTTTTCTGTACCCTCATAGTTTCATGTATTTATAACTTGGCAGTGTTGAATTGTGTTGCATGATTAAATTACTAACTATACTTAAGCAAAAGATTAATAAATAACTAGATGACACATTTAGTTATCAAATTTATACTTAAAATATTTAAAAATTTAATTAGAGACAATTCTGATCATGGAATTAAACACAAATTAACGAATGCAGAACGGCAATTTTGAATGTCTTCAACCATGTGATGCCTCCCATCCTATAAAAATATAGATAATGCTTATTGATGGCCTTATAGTGTGATTTGATATTATTGCCATACTCCGTCTCTGACTCCTCTGTTGCCAGAAATATTTTAGTACTCTAGTATGCTCGCTTTTAGCTGAGAACCATATATTCTTTGAAATGTTCAGTATTCCTTGCCAAAAATTCAAATTCCATTTTTAAGAAAAGAACACAGATAAACAGAAATTCAGATATTAGCATTGAATTTTATCAGTCATGCCAATTCCGCCATGATATAGAGTCCGGAATATAGACAGCAAAAGTAGGAAACCATTTTTAAATATTATGTATAAATTTCAGAATTCCATATCTCTCTTAAGATCTCCTTCCCAGTCCTTAAGTTTATCTTTTAACTCAAATTTTTTCTGTTTCTATTTTAGCCCTTTCTCAGTTCTTATTGGAAAGTACAGATAGAGAATTCTTTACTAAACATTTTAAAACTAAGAATTTATCTTTCACACTTTTGAAACTAGACACCATCAAAAATATTTGCTGAACTCCTGCTATAGGAAAGGCACTGTTCTGGACACTGGAATTCTTGGTACTGAGCTGAACACTGGATTTCTTGGCAAGTTGTAGACTTCAAAAGGAATTATTTCATTTTAATGTACTCAAGAATATTAATAAAGCATATTTAAGCAAAAAAAAATGTAACTGATTTAAGTAGTCTGCCAGGTGTGATTCCCAAAATAATCCCACTTTACATTTTTGAGAGGAATCATACATGACTCCCTTGTATTAAAGTTCCATTAGAATAGAAACAAGGAATCGTAGCAGTATACTAAAGACTCCTTTTATTTTGGCACTTGTGTTTCAGCAGCAGAATTATTTATTTTATCATCACCAGAATTAAAATACACATAATTAAAATATGGCTGTTCTTTAGCAGGAATCAAATTAAACAGCTTTATCAAGCAAAATTTTCACAATTTGTAGAATGAAATTTTGCGCCATTGGTTTTGGAATAGATATCAAATTGAAGTATTGAAAGAAAGTTAGTACGGAATTGGGTTTTAGCTTGATGGCAGAGCATTTACCTGAAGCTCCATGGATTAAATGCCCATCACTGTAAAAAAAATAAAGATAGGAATACATGAAAGGAAAATACATATTATGAATAAAATATGTTTTCACGTATATAGTTTAGAATTGCTTTTGTGATATATTAGATCAAGAAAAGTAGCAGTTTATGATTATTCTTATGAACAATTTCATGCCTAAAGGTAAAAACCAACTTGTGATTTGCCTTCAATGCTTTAATGATATTAACACATGCAAAAAATATTGGAAGAAAATTAGCTTCTTCATAGAGACTGGGTATGTTTTGTTTTAAGGTCAGTTACCAGTAGCAGAACTTTTGTACTGCCATTTTGTAGTAGAACTCTATTATTGATGGAGAAGAAAAGGCTAAGGTCAAATCACTTCCTGTTCTCTCTATACTACTGAGACCTCAAAATACGTTCAAGGAGCCCTTTCTTTAAAGACAGAAACATTTCTGTTGTGGTCCTCTAATATTCAGCAGGTTTATATGTTTGTAGGAATTAAAAGAACTCTGGAGTTTCAGGCATGGTGTTCCAAGCTTGTAATCTCAGTACTTCAGAGACTGAGGCAAGAGGAATGGTACAAACTCTAGTCCAGCCTGAACTACAAGTGAGAATTTGTCTCAAAACAACAAAAACGAACAAAAAGAATTTTGTACTCTGATACTGTCTTGGTCACTTTTTTGACACAGGGAACTTTATCCAATATCCATCAGGTTTTCCTCATCTTAACTAAATTACTTGTGATCACTTTTAAGAGAAATTGTCAAAATTTTGACGCCTATCCTTCCTCCACATTGCAGCAATAGTATAACAGGAATAATGACAGTTTTTAATGTGTCAAATTTTAATTCAAATATACAAAATGTAAAATTGTTATTGCCAATTTTAGGGCATTATGAGTGTCATTTTTTCTAAATTATGGATAGTTTTACACTTGCAGTTGATGTTATCCTTGGCAGACAGCACTGTATCATGCCCTTCACCAATCTGTGCTATGTAATAGTATAATTGAGCAGCCTAGTAACATGTGAACCTACACTCAACATAATTGTCATTGCTTTACATAAGCATTTATCAAAAACAGATTTGTTAAGGGGGGGAAAGAAAACAAAGTGATCTTTTCAAGCAATTATTTTTCCTGATTGTACCTTTAAATCATATATTAAGAATATATTGCTCCACAATGAAATTTTACTTTTCATTAACTTACTAAGTACATAATTCCATTTGACATTCCTGCATTCCATTTTACTTGTACTACCTCTGAAACATTACCATCACCTTAAATCCACATCAGATTGTAACATGAATATTTGTTGAATTTTTATTTACCCTTTTATAGATGCAATAAATAATTTCCAACTAATATATCTTTCTTTACTTTAATGCTTCTATTTTCAACTCTTGGTATTGTAGTTTTTATTTTAAGATGAATTAATTTCTTCCAAAAATAAGGTTTTGATAAAAAAAGAGAAGTGCAGAGAAAAATGAGGTGTTGGCTGTCAAAGAAAGGAGAACACTGAGTGCTCAAGAGAAAATTTGGTTAACTTCCAAGCTGATATGTATACTATATTTAATTGATGTTATTTAACATGCACTGCATTAACATCTATTAAATAACATAATGTTTTACAGTAGGTAATAGATTTGTCTTCAGTAGAATAATTAAATGGTAGAATCAGCCAATTAATTGGCATGGTACAAAAAAGAATGGCATTTTTACTTAAGGTTTCTGTTTTAATATGTGATGGTTTTGAATCTAACTTTCCCTGCTTCTGTTTGACACCAGTTGAACATGTTTTAAAATGGAATGAATATGTACATGCCTTCTTTATCAAAGATTTATACCATTTAAAACTATTCATGTTACCTAACTAGTAGGGAACAAAATAGATTGGGCAAAGGATGAGTTTCAAACAGCACACGAAGCAGTATTTCCTATTTGATAAATTTTCAAGAGTTGCAAGGGGAAAAAAATTTTACATGCAAACTTAAATGACACAGGTCTTTTCAGATCTACAGTGCACTGATTTATGGTAAAAAGAGTGTTTGATCATATAAAATGAAATGAGAATAATTACAAAACTATCTTATACAGCAAGAAATATTTACAAATAATTGAATATTTTGCATACTTTGAAATTTTATGAGATTTCATATTTTATTTACATCTTTTTATGGAAGTGGATTTTCATTGTACAAATTTTAGAAAATATTTAAAAACCACTTGTAATTTCACAAACTAATAATGGATATAAACATCTTAGTCTATTCACTCTAGTCATTTCTCCTATATATTACATATATTTAACAAAACTGGGTTCACATGAAAATACAATTATATGTCCTACATTTCTTATATGACTATTTGAGACCAAAGTATTTTACTTTCAATTATATTTGAATCTAAAGATAAAGACAAAACATATTTTAAAAATTCATGTGGAGGGAATAAAAAGAAAATTTTTATTACTGAAACTATTTTAAGGAGTTAACATGTCACTGCTTTACATGAAAATTATGCATTTTAAGAGATTGAAAGCAAATATTGCTGCTATTTATGATAACATCAATGAAATTGCTATACTTTAAGAGCAAATTGCAAAAGAAGACCAAATTACAAGAGGGTTCTCCTTAATGCTTCTACCCAAGTACTGTATTGTTTTTGTGATCTACACTAGTAAACCACGCTAAACTATATTTTTATTTTAAAAAGAAAAATAGAAAAAAAGGATAGAAATAACACTGAATTGCAAAAAAATTAGGAAGTTAACACTAGTTAATTCCTAAAATAGTTGTTCAGGTTACAAGATGTAGGCACAAAAATAAACAATGACAGCACAAACTGATAGTATAGTTATCTATCTTGCAAACTTTAGAATAGAAAAACATCCTTTTTAGCTATGAAAGGTTTCACGCTGGATATACCAATGTACACTTGAAATTATTATTTTTTAAATAAATCAATTGGAATACAGCTCTATTTTTTCTCTAGAGAACAAGGTTATATCTTTCTTATTATAGTGCTCTGTTTCACTCATCTTACTGGGAAGTTTAGAAACGTTTGCCTATCTTGAATTTTGTTGTGTCATAATGATTAATATTTTTATTTCAAATTTATTGCATACTGCAATGTATATACAAATTACTACAATCATCTACTTCTTTTTACAAGCTAAATTATATGAAACTCTATTACTTCTGTCAAGCTCTAGTTAAAAATGTAGATTTTTAGAGAAACCTATTAATTTTTTCTAGCTGTTAATAGACCATTGGAGTGCATGAGTTCAATAATGTGGGAAGTGATATCTCTAATATTTGTTTGCTTAAATTAGATGATTTATATGTCTAAGACACAGGTCATAGATTTAAACTCCAATCAGGTCAATCAATAAGTTTATACAAGTCAACAATTTCTTCTGCAACAGAGTCACTATGCACCTGTATTTTTAAGGAATTTTTGCCCATTGATGAATATGATCATTTTTATAGATTTTTAAAATGTATAAACAATGAATGCTGGGGAGGCTCTTTTGTTCATTCTCATCCCATGCCTCTACTGGAACTTTATTAGTAATTTATTGGAAATAAATTGTTATAAAATTCAATTATCTGTGACTAAGGTAAAATGAACTATTGGGCTTTCATTCATCACTGGTAGTATTTGCTTAATCAGCTGTACTCTTTACAACATTATGTAACTAATAGGCTACCAAGAAAAGGATAGTTAAGGCCATGGATGTCTAAAACTGGATAGAGATACCTAGAAATTGGCTAAAAGTCTTTTGAAAATCATCACAATGACAGTCACTAAGTGGATAGTGGGCAGGGCAAAGAGGGTTCTAGATTCTAAAATCTAGAAGATGAAGGTTTATATAGTAGTATAGTTCAGGAACTTAAGTATTGTACAAGTTCAATTGAGTCAAATCTCAATTTTAATATTTATTGGATGTGTGATTTTAGGTATTTGATAAATTTGTGTTGCAAATTATGCATAATGATAGTGCTTACCTTGTAGAGCTTTAAGGATTATAATGCATCATAAATTGCTCAACATAATGCTTCATAAACAATGACTTCTTATTAAAAGTTATTTTACTATTATTATTATTATTATTATTACATCCTATAAAGGGAATTAAAGGAATTCAAAGAAAACTCTGATCCAACAATTTTGCCCTTGGTATAAATGGATAAATACAAATATTTAAGAGGATTAATGGATAGATCCAAATAATTTTATCTACATATTCTTTCTCACTAGCAGAGATATCGTATTCAAAAGATAAAACAATTTCTTATACTCTCAGTGTTCTTCTTAATACCTTAAAAAATTAACAGCCATTCTCATTTAGCAAGGAGCTGCTACCATATATGAATTGGAGTGAATCTTGTTCATTATCTTACATTTCATAAACTGTCAATGCCATATAACAAATTTCACACATTTGTATTTATCTATATTATCTCTTTCATAAAAATATTTACAATGTAGTGTGAAAAATCCTTTACAGAAAAATCTAGTATGTAAAAATTAATTTGACTTTTTGAGTGTCATATCTTAATCTCCAGTTTAATGCATGAATTTCTGAAATATTTTAAGTATTATCTGCAGAAATTTTAGTTTAGATATTTATTATTTATTTATTTATGGTACTGGGAATCAAAATCATGGCCTGGCACTTGCCAGGCAGGTGCTATGCCATTGAATTATATGCCTGTCCCCTGTTTAGTTTTTTTAAACTTTCTCTGTTTGTTTCAATCAAGTGAATTCTATTCTATTATTAGTGGCTCTTGAACAGATAAACTATCCTATTTTATTCAATAAAATAATGTTTTATTTTTTCATGGCAATCTTCATGAAATACTACATTCCATGCACTCCTTGATTTAAGGGTTGGTGTTGAAAAATCTGTAGTGATTCTGATGGCCTTTCTTTTATACATGATTTGTTTCTCCTTTTGAACAGCTTTTTGGTACTCTCTTCTTTTGTTCAATCTATGGAATCTTCACTATTGTATGCCTTAGTATAGATTTTTATGGTTAATTGGAATTTGTATGCCTCACTTATCAGTATGTCAAATTCTTTTTCCATGCCTGGTAAGTTTTCTGCCATTACTTCTGTGAACAGGATTTTTCATATCATTTGCACTATCTCCTCGTTTTTCATTGATCTTATGTTTCATTGATCTTATGATCAATCTTATGTTATTCTTTGCATTATACAGCAGCTCTTGAACTGATTTTTCATGGTCCTTTGTTATTTTTAAGAAATCTTTATTTTCATGATTTCTCACCACAAATATGTATTCTAGGTCTAACATGTCCACACTACTGTAGATTTGGCTTCCTATATACTCAATAGAAGTTTTAATCACCTATATATTTGTTTGAATCTATTGTAGAGATTCCATTTCTTGGCTATGTTGGACATACATGATTTCCATAATTTTCCTAAGCTCCTCTACTTTTCTTTTATCTTATCTACTCTAAATTCACTAGTTATGTCTTTCGTTATGTCCATCATCTCTTTAAAATTGTCTTGAGAAATTATTTCTAATATGATTTTTCTAGAACCTCATTCTTCTGCTTTGTTCCTTCTGCTAATACCACTTCAGAAAGTTCAGATGGGTGGCTCTCAAACTATTTCACATCAATGCCTCTTGGGTTTGCCTGTGATGAGCTGGTATTTTGGCATTGCAGCTTGTTTCTGTGTGTCATTTTCTATATATACATTCTATGGTTGTATTGCTACATTGTTGATTGTAAATTTCTTATGGGAGATAGCTTTATTACTAATATTTAGAACTTCTTAGTGAATGATACTTTTCACTCATATCTTCTGGGTGTATCTGGCTTTTGTCCATTGAGACTGTTGCAAGATTCTACCTCTTCAGTTTATTGAGGATAAGAAGTTGCTGCTTATTTGGCCTAACAGTCGGTTTTTTGGTACTAGCTGATAATACTGTTAATGATCTTAGTCTTGGAATGCGAGAACAACTAATTAGAACAACTATGTCACTTTGATTAAAGTAGTACAATCAGTGATTTTGCTTTCAAGAATATCCTAGAAAATGGTGAACTGTGGTAACTATTAATTTGCCATCTTTATTCATTTAAACAAATTTGTAGTTATGTAACAAAGTCTAAAGTAAAATAGAAAATCACATACAATAAATATCACTTCTACATAGCAATTTTATCCTCGGGAGAGAAAATTTAAATATAGTAAGAAAAAAATAGAGAAATAGAAAGACATTAGAAGTAAGGCTGAAAGACAGAGAAAGAGTACACAAGAATTGGGAAGTTAGTGAAGAAGACTATGGGGAAAGAATAAAAGGAAGAAATGGACCCAGAGGAGCAGTGAATTGTCACCACCTTGGGGCTCACAGTGTCAGTGTGAGACATAACCATAGGAAACACGCAGGCTCAGGTAACCAAGATCAAGTTGCAAAGAGACACCCAGGGTTTTGTCAACTAATAATCTCAATCCTTGGGTGGGGATTTAGCTCAGCAGCATAAGTGGTTGCCTGGCAAGTAGGAGATCATAGTTTGATCTCCGGCACCAAAAAAAAAAAAAAAAAAAAAAAAAAAATCTTGATCCTGGCTTCACATCCAGAAACCAGAACCAACCTAAACATTAGTGGAGTTGAAAGTACAAAAGTAAAGGCTTGCTGGAATTATCTACCACCCCACCATAATTCTTCTGCAGGCTTGCTATGATTAACCAAGACAAATCTGACCCTGTCTATCCCCTTTGCCAACAAGTGGCATGAAGACACATTTTGAAATAGACAGTTTTATTCTCTTTTTCTTCACATTTTTCAATTACTCTTGTTTTCATATGAGCATGAATATTATATCTAGCTTTATTGTTATTTTTAAATTCTGATTTCTGTTGTATCATTACTTTTATAAAGGTGTTTTATACTTACATGCAGCCTTCCTTCTAATTTACTCATGAGCACATATTTTGCTTTCAAAAGGTTGTATTTTCTAATTGTACATCATTCCGAAATATTTAATTCATCTGTGTATCAAGAATTGCATAAACTGTATTCTTACTGGCACATTAGGTCTGAAGTAAGTGGCTATTTAAATACTTATTATGCTTTGTTTTATATACATAATGTTCTGTTTGTTAATTTACTAACATATATGCGGGAGAAATTAGAGATTCCAATGGATTTATTTTATTACAAGACAGCACTTATTTTTGTGTTTTCTATTTTTCAAATAATTGGTGGAGATTTAACTGGAAAAGTACAGTAAAAAGTATTAAGAACTAAATTCCAAGAACCTTCACATTCAATCAGCTAAAAAAATGACCTATTTGAACACAAATGACTGCTGGAAGTCAGGAGTTAAAAAAAGAGTTCAGGCACAGGAATTTAGAAAGTCTTAGAAACAAGATTGTATAAATTGAAATGCAATTTCAATAAGTATAAGAAACAATGGGAAGTAAAATGTTAGACTAGCAAAATTCAGCCTCTGCATGACCTTGTATCCAGGCACCTGAAAAATGACAAGTTAGTAGACAAATGATAAGATATCCTGGAATAAGAAAAAAATGACAGGAAAATTAGAAGATACCAAGAAGCTGGGGAACTGAACCTCAATGCACAGAAATAAAAGAAGCAATCTGGAAGCTTACCATAGGACCTAGGAAAAGGAACATGTCATGGAGCTGCAGTGTGGGAAGCTCCGTAAGGAAATGATAGGTGGGAATGACAGCATTGCCTTAGGAGGAACTTACAGCTGTTGCAAATGGACTTTAGGTCTCAGTCACCGGGGAAACTTAACAAACTTACAGGATGTAAATCTAGGGAGAAAACTGTGGTTTACTGATTTCAAAACAGTAGATAATGGAAATAAACTGGCCATTGAAATATATAGAGAAAATATTTGCAGTGGTTTTTCCGAACTTTTCCTTTTTCTTTAAAGAATTCTTCAGTTTGGGGATTTTCCTTTTTTATTTTTCTTTCCTTTCCTTTTTTTTTCACTTTTAATGCTTTTCATATTTATTTTTTCCCCTCTTTTTAAACTTCTTTTTCTCATTGATTCTATTCTTTTATCTTTATCTAATGTAATTAGTATTCTCCTACTCCTTAGTAGAACTTTAAATGTCACTTTTATTTTATTTTGATCTTATATTATTACTTTTTCAATTTTTTTTGTTTTCTTTTTCCTGCTCCCTGCCCCTTATATCTTTACTAGTGTAAAAATGAAGCTATTTTAATTTTTAGATAGTTACTCTATATAATCACTGTTTCTTTCTTATTGTTAGTGGAGGTGTAATTGTCACATTTAGGAGATATTTAATCTAGGCTAATATCTGTCTTAGTGTTTATAAAAAGATTATAGATAAATTTGCTATGGTTTAAGATTATGCATTATCAGTTCTTGTAGTATATCAATATGCAAGTCGTTTCTGATGATAATATTGTTGCTGTTTTAATTGCTGTTTCAGGGTACATAACAGTTTAATTGCTGTTGCTAACAATAGGGTTTGTATGCATGGTAATATCCAGATTTCCTTTGAGCTACTAACACTATTGCTCTCAATTTGGAAATAACTGAGTACTGAGACAATAGCACTGCATTCTCCCTTCCAAATTAATGGAGCTAGTCAGATACTGACACAGAGGCAGAGTCCTAGTGAGCCATACCAAGTACATCACTGAAAAATAGATACAATACTAGCTAAAGAAACATACATACTATCAAAAATTATTTTCTCATATCAAGAATACCCAGAGCAAAACAATCAAATAGACAAACTAAAGAAATCAAGGCAAAAAAAAAAATGCTTCCAAAAGCTCCCTAGTCATCTTGTGGATATCAAGAGGGTTTTTGTAAGGGTGATAGAATATATATATATATATATATATATATATATATATATATATATATGATCAAAGCAAACTTAAAGCATATATAACTGAAAAAATGAAATAATAAAATATGATCAGATATTTTATAAAAGAAACTAATGAATAGCCAGCGGAACTAACAAAATAACATAAAACATGAATAAGGAGTGTAGCCATGAAAATGTTCCCAATAGAAATCAAGGAAATTAAAAATCCCATCAAAGGTATGTTCAACACAAGTGACCAAGTTTGAGAACAGAGTGTCAGAACTAGAATGGTAGTACTGCAAAAAGAAACCAGTTACTTTGCAATAATACAAAACAAGAGAATATTAAAAACACATCTAACAGCTCCAAATGATGTATGGGAGAATTCTCTAAGAACAGTTGGAATTAGTGAACACAAGACTGCACAAGTAGCATAAATAGCTTTTTTACTGACACGATTGGAAAAAAAAATTGAAAATAGAATGACATAAAAATAGGTCATACGTATGGAGCCCGAAATTTCCAAGATCAGAAAAGAATCTCTCTGCAAAATATCCTAGTCAAAATTCCAGACATCCAACACAAGAACAAAATTTGAAAGCTGGTAGTAAAATGCAAGGAGTCACTTATAAATGCAATCTCATGAGAATTACAGACTTCTCAACAAAAACCTAAAAGGTTACGTGAGATTGAGCTGAAGCGATTTAAGCCCTAAAAATAAACAATCTGCAACTAAAACTGATATACCTTGCAAAATATATTTCTCAATTGAAGGAGAAATAACTACTCTCCATGACAAAGAGCACTTTAAGAAATGACACCAAACCAGCACTAAAAGCATTTCATGAATATCACAGAAAGAGATGTTGAAACCAATATTTACAAAAAGTCTAATAGGATGAGTATATCAAAACAGGTTGAGCAGTTAAGTAAAAGGGAAAAATATGAACTTAGCAGCAGGAAAATAACGCAATGGCAGAAAGAAGTCAATAATTTTAATTACTAATTTTCAATATGAATAATCTCAATTCCTCGACCAAAAGATGTATTTTGGCAGAATGGAAAATAAACCAAACACAAGAATATGCTACATACAAGAAATAAATTTAAATGTAAAATGAAAATCACAGACTAAAAAAAAAATAAATAAAGTATAGAAAGCAGTAGTCCAAGCACAGGAACTCAGAAAAAGCAGTATCTCCCCTAATTCCACATAAAGTGCAGTTCAAGACGAAACTGATCAGAAGAGGAAAAAAGTTCACCACATATTTGTTAAGAAAATAACATCAGGAGGAGACAACAATTAAAAACCTATATGCATCAGATACCTGGGCAGCCAATTTTATAAAAATAAACAGTAAATATGCAGAAGAGATTAGACAAACACCAACACAATTCTGGGGGAATTTGATACCACAGTATCAAAAATAGATCAATCAGCCAAAAGAAATCAACAAAGATACATCAGTGTTGAACTAACTCTTCAAACACATGAAACAGATATTTTCAGAGTGTTCCACCTAACAACAAAAGAATACTTGTTCTTCTAAGCAGTATATGAAACATTTTACAAAATATACTACATGCGAGAAAGACATTCTTACATGAACACAAAAGAATCAAAATTACATAGTTTCAGATCCATATTGTTGAATTATAGTACAATAAAATTAGAAATCAAAAGTAATCAAAGAATATCTGCAAACAGATGAAAATTATTCAATATCCTATTCAATAATCAGTGGCTTTCAGAATAAATCAATAAATAAGATTGGTATTTCCTAGAATCAAATTGAAATGCCAATACAAAATAACAGAATCTTAGGAACACAATGAAAGGAGTCCACCATGAAAAGTTTTATCTGTAATTTTCCACACTAGGAAAGCATTATGACTCAAAATGAACAAACCTAATGATGCACATCAGTATCCTAGAAAAATAAGAAAAATTCAAATTCAAAATGAATAAAAAGAAGAAAATTTTAATTAGAAAATTAATATATTTGAGACTAAAAAAGCAACAGAATGAATCAGTGAATCATTTTGAAAGAATAAACAAAGCATTCAAATCTCTAGCTAAATTTACCAAAAGATGGAAAAAACCAAAGAAACATAATCAGAAATGAAAGAGCAAATTCACAACATACATTACCAAATCCAGATTATTAATAAGTGTTTTAAAAGCTTATGTTCTTTTATTTTTGAGAATTCAGAAGTTTTTAATAGACTCATAGATACTTATAAATAACAAAACTGAAGGAAAAAGATATAAAAAATTTGAACAATCCAAAATTAGGCAATGACATGAAAAATTAATATAAATAAACTACCAACTAATAAAATACAGGTTCTGATGGTTCACTGATAAAGTTCAAAAGACTTGTAGGGAAGCTCTAATGTCAATACTCTTCAAATGCTTTAATGAATTTGACAGTGAAGGAGTACTCCCAAAGTCATTCCCTGAAACAAGTATCACTCCGATGCCAAAACAGGACAAAGATTCAACATAAAAAAAAAATCTACATGCAAACATCTTTTATGGACAAAGACATAAAAATCTTCATCAAGACACTGGAAAAAATGGCATAAATTATCAAAAACATCATATATCATGAGTGCTTCCCAGGGATATAGGGCTGGATCAACATACATAAATCAAAAAAATCTAGTACCTCACATGTACAGAAAGAAAGATACAAACAAAATGGTCATCTCATTTGATTCAGAGAAATCTTTTATAAAATCTCATATCAATTAAGATAAAAATGAAAAAAAATGGTACAAAACTAACTTATCTCAATCGGATAAAAACCATTTATGATAAAGCAATGGTCACAATATATTAAATGGGGAAAAGCTGAAAGCTTTCCTTCTAAATTAAGAAAGAAGAAAAGAATTTCCACTACCTCCGTTATGTTAGACATGGTTTTCACCACATTTGGTAGATCATTCAGGCAAGAGAAAAATATAAAACAGTATATACAGAAGGAAGAAGTTAAATAATCATTATTTGCAAATCGCATATCTTCTACATAGAAGACCCCAAATATTGAATGTAATGACTCCTAAAATTAATATGTATTTTTATGTACAAAATAAACCAAAAAATCAATAGCATTCTTGCACACCAATAAAAAGCTCACCAGAAAGTTTAGGAAAGCATTATCACTCACAATAGCATCAAGAAATATTCTATTCTTACAAATTAACCAAGGTAAGGAAAGGCATCTACAAGGAAAACTACAGAATATTGAAACAGATCAAATAAGACACAAGAAAGCAGAACTATGTCACAAGTTCATAGATTGACAGAATCAATATTGTCAAAAGGCCTATAAGCATATCTAATGCAATCCTAATCAAAATATCAATACTATTTCTCATAGAACTGTAGTAAAGGAAATAATCTGGAAATTCATGTGGAACAAAAAATTTTTCTGATTAGCAAAACTAATGCTCAGCAACAAGAGCTAAACAGGAGGTGTCAAAATCACAGACTTTAAAATTATAATACAGTGCTACAGTGATGAAATGAATAAAGAAAATGAGGTATTCACGCATAATGGAGTACTATTATGCTATAAGGAAAGATAAACTTGAATCATTTTTAGAAAACTGGATGCATCTGAAGTTCATAACATTAAATGAAACAGGTGAAACACATAAGCTTAAATATCATATATTTTGTCCCATTTGAAAATCCCAAAATAAAAATAAGATAGATAATAGAAAGTGAGGAGATACATCTTTTGAATAGAAACCAAGAATTAGAGTGAAGGGGGATGAAAAGGAGAAAAGGATGAAAAACGATGTGTTAGGTTCATTTACCAATTCTTCACGAGTAATGATACGCTACAACCATGTACTAATAAAAAATAAAAATGTAGCACTACTTACCAAGATAAATGTTCTTGTTACATTAATAAGAAACTGAAACATTTTTAACCTTTATTATTATCATTTTTATTTTGATTTTATACAATTGTGATAGAAATAGATGAAATTGTCATGTTTATTAAAACGTTAATATTATATAATGTTGAGATTTATTTGAGGAAGCTAATGCATACTGTTAAGATATCTTAATTTTAATCAGATTTCCTCCCTCTACTACTCCCCTCATTTGTTCACTTCCTGAACTTCAGAAGCTTACCTCCTGGTTTCTTGACCTCATTCGTTTGTTTGTTTCTTGGTGAGTTGATTGTTAAGTTTCTTTCATAAGAGAAATAATGTAACATTTAATCTTGGAAGCAGCCTTTATATCCACTAACACATGAATGGATGAAGAAAATGTGGCATTTATACATAATGGAGTACTACTCTGCTATTAAGAAAAATACACACGACTAATTTCATGTAATATGAGAGTTTTTGCAAGTCACATGTTTTCATTTTTCTTTATGTCTATTCTGTTGACATGTATCTGAACTATTTCCACAATGTAGATACTATGAATTTCGCTACTATAAACATGTTGTTCATGAATCACTAAAGTGTGAGGTTGTTAATTCTTTAAGGAATAAGTTCAAGAGACTGAGTAAAATGGTTTAAATTATCTGGCTATGGTTAGTCATTTAAGGAATCTCCAAAATGGTTTTCGAATTGACTGCACTAGTTTGCTTTCCTGGCAAAAATTTTAAAGGGTTCCTTTTTCCCCTCATCATGTACAGCATTTATTGTTTTTCATATTCTTAATGACTGTCATTCTGATTGTGTTGAGATAGAATATCAACATAGTATAAATTTGCATTTCTCTGATGGCTAGAGATGTTGGCTTTCAATTTTTGGCCAGTTGAACTTGTTTTGAGATGTATCTTTTCAGTTCATTTGCCCACTTTTTTCTTGAGTGTCTTATTTATGGGGGTTAACTTTTTTATTTCAAAGAGAATAAAGCCAAATGAAACAAAACAAAATAGAGTCATTCAAAACAAAATGTTAAACATGGTACATGACTTAAAACCAAAATGTAAGGAGATCAATAATGGCTACTATAATGCCACTTGTTATCTTTAAAAGAATTGCCCATAACATTAGGTACAATAAAATTGAACAAAACAATACAGAACAAAACCAAAACGAACACTGGAGACATTACGGGACTTCAAAAGAAGCTAATAATCCAAACCAGAATGGGTATCATAGTGCATCTTATTGTTTCCAAAGTAGTTGCCTATACTATCAGACTTCATACTATCAAACTAAACAGAATGCAATAAAATCAGTCAAAATAAAACAGTGAACGCAATACAGGAATTCAAATCAAGCTAATAGGAAATCAAAAATGGTTGCCATAATACATCCTGCTGTCTTTGGAATAGCTGTCCATGCCCATCAATTCTAATACAAGTAGACAAACTGAGACAGAATAAAAGCAAACTAAACAGAACAATGAAAACATATGGGTTTCAAATCATGATAATATATTAACAATGGCCAATGACTTCCCTTTTTAGGCAGTTCTTCCATTTTGACTTTCACAGGGTGAATTGTTCATTTTGGATACTATTAGCCCCTTTAGTTTTTAGCTTAGTAAGGCACACCGCTATTCTCCTAAGTGATTCTGAATCTTTTTACCCCTGAGCATGACCTCAAGTTGTATCCATTTACCTCTAAGAGCCTCAAGGTTTTCTTTCTTTATAGCTGAGTAGTTTTCTATTGTATAAAAGTGTCATGGCTTTCTAATCAATCTGTAGCTGATTGGCAAGCTACCCTGACTTTTTTCTGGTTCCCTGTCACATAGAGCATTGTTTTCTCATCTTTGTCTTTCAGTCTAAAAAACTATAGGGACCAATTTTAAGTTATGTTTATATTCTTGAAATGAAGCTTCTATGTGACCACTAGCTATCATATGCTTTCTCCTATTATGTAGGTTTTATTTTCATTATTAGCTGTTTGTGTTGCCATGCAGAAACTATTAAATTGGTGTGGTCCCATTCCTTAGTTCTTAATACTAATTTGTGTGTTTTTAAAGTCCTCTTGAGTAAGTCTTTACCTTTGCCTAAAATTTTAAGTTATTTCCTTTATGTGATCTAGTAGGTTTAATATACTTGGCTTCATATCTAGATCCTTAACATATTTTGATTTTAATATAGCATTATAGATAAGGATCTAATTTTGATTTTAT